TTTTTCTTTCAAACTCCAAGATTCGTGGAAAGACTTTCGTTGATATCCGGTATCGAAACATCTTCTCATGATTCATCTCGCTCCGTTTACGTCGTCTGACGTGACTCTCTCACTCGTTCGATGATGATTAAGAGAGAGGAAAAAAAGGAAGAAAGAAAAAAAAGAAAGTCGAGCCCGCAGCCGCCATTCAAACTATCGCCCCCTCCCCCTCCTCCTCCTCCCCTCGAATTCAATCCAGCGTGAAAACGATCCTTAAGCCTCGCATCTTTCTCGAAATGGAGATTTTTCGAAAAACCCTCCCTCCACCTCCTCCTCCTCCTCCTCCTCCTTTTCTTCCTCTTCTCGAAGCGGAGAACGTGTTGGAGGGGGAGGGGGAGGGAAGAATTTGAATTTTCGGGCGAGGGGCCCGGCGAAGGGGTTTTTGGTGAAAGCCGACGAAAGACGACGACGACCCGACGAGAGGGGAGAGTATATAGACTGCGTTTCGTTTCTGGTCACCTCACAACGAATCCGCTCGGCACACTCGCCGTCTTCGTCGTCCGCGTTTTTTCTCGTTGGTCGAATCGGCGTCGACAACGAACCATCCATCGACGAGCCAAGGGTGTTCGAGCCCGGTCGAAACGGTCCGCGCCGGTCGAGGGAAGAGAAGGAGGAGGAGGAGAGGAATAATAACGCATAAGTGCTAAGTGTGTGTGCCAAATAGGATTACAAACGACTGGAAGGCCGGGGGGAGAAGGGAGAGAGAAGAAATAAAGAAAAGGTTTGTGAGATGTTCGAGTGGATCATCGAGTGACTAATATACATTTTAAGTATATATGTATGTATATATATATATATATGTATATGTATATGTACATATGTATATGGTGGTGTATAATCGGTACGGTAACACGGTGACAATTTTCGAAAAATTTGTCTCGCACATGTGTGAACCATTTGTGTTTTTCTCCACTGTCTCTATTTGGTGACTCGTGCATTTTTCTCGTAGCATCATTTTATGGACGATAAGAAAAAGAAAAGAAAAAAAGGAAAGGAAAGAAAGAAAGATTACTACAGATGGATCGATCAAGCCAAGATCGTTCGATTTACTATTTTGCTTTGTCATATAATATGAGAATTTTCAAATTTTTTCATACGTACGATCCGAAAGTTTCTCTTCAAGTTGCTCGATTCGAGGGGGAATAGATAGATGATGGGATAGTCGATATTCTTTCGATCTTTTCTTCTCTCTCTTTCTTTTTCTTCCTTTCTCGTGGAAAAATTCGATTCTCTCGATCTTTTCTTTCCTTTCCTTTTTCTTTTTTCTTTTTCGTGGAAAAATTTCGGTCGATTCTCTCGATCTTTCTCGTGGAAAAATTTGGATCGATTCTCTCG